TGCTACTGTTGTTTCACTTTCAAATAGGCTTCTGATCAATATGAAAAGAAACAAAGCAGGTCCATCTGAGCCTAAGTGTTTGTTGGGCTGGTGTGGTTATGGTATACCTGCTTTTTAGCCAGTGGCACATACAAGGGAATGAAGTAGCTACCATCACATCTGACTACCTTTGACTCCCCAGCCAAAAGGACCAGGAACCTATATACAGGTGTGTCTGGTGGGGGGAGGAAAAGGGGCAGTTTTTGGCAAAACTCCAGGACTTGTCTTGAACTCACACCTCTGAAGCAAACCACCTTAACCACAGTCACCTGAAGAACATCAAGTTCTTCCCTTACAAATCTAAACAAGAAGCTTGCCATGCATCTGAAATAGCAGTCGAATTAAATTCTAAGGGCTCAGATCAGGTTAATATTATTTGCACATGAATCTTTGTGAGACTTGCACAGATTAAGGTCTTATTTACATATTTGAGTAGCAAAAAAGGGAAGAAAAGAAAATCAGCATCCTGTACTTCAAAACATCAAGGCTAGGGACAGAAGTTACACAAACTGATGCAAGTGATCAGAAACTGGTTTAAACCTATAAACAGAACAGAAGTTCAGCGCACATAAACCGCTTTCAAAATCACCAAAACTAGTTTAAGATAGACCTGGCTGGATGTAGTATCAGGCTTAAATGATTTAGGTCAAACTGGCTCATGGAACTGGTTGAGATCTCTTTCTGGTTCAAGTCAATTCAGAGTTCCCCAGCATCTCAGGATGCTTTGCAGCCTTAGGCTATGCTGCCTGCTCCAGGGAAGTAGCGACTGCCTTGCCTCTCTGCTCATGTCCATCAGCCCGCAGGGACTGGAAGGGTAGGAGAAGAGACCCCAGACCTGCCTAACCAGAGTCTATACAGCACGTGGCGGGAGGTAAAGGTCCTGTGGTGCAGGTTTCTCAGACCCCTGGTAGCCCTCTCAGTTACCGACTGCTTCAGCAGCTTCCACAGGAGGGAAGGAGAAGTAGTCCTCCAGGCCAGATGCCTGCCCATGCAGCCTAACATGGGGACACTGGGGAGCTCCCACCCCAGCTGAGGGCAGCCCCAGGGAACTGAAGGGAATGATTCCCCTCCTGAAGCCCAGAGCTGCTTGCCTTGGACCCTGCAAGTCTCAGGACAGCCCAGGAAGTGGAGGGAAATTCCTCTGCTCTACTACATTAGTTTTGCCTCAGACTCACAGCAGCTAAGGCAGAACTGGCTGGGGAAGAGCAGGAGAATTTCCCTATGTTCCCTAAAGCTGCCTCAGACTTGCAGGACCTAAAGGCAACTAGCTGTGGGGTTCAGGAGGGGAAGAATTCCTCTCAGCTCCTTAAGGCTGCCCAGGACTGGGGTGGGGAAAAGCACCTCCCCCACAAGGCAGGGACTCCCTTAGTGCCCCCATGCTGGGCTGCACAGGCAGGCACCCAGCCCAGAGAACTACTTCTCCCTCCTTCCTGTGGCAGACACTGAAGCAATCTGCAACTGGGAAGGGTGGGGGCAAAAATTCCCCTCAGCTCCCCAGTGCTGGTTGGGCTGGGGAATCCATGCGGGGGGAAACTTCCTGAGGGTCAGCACCCAGACAGAGGGCTCCTTAACCCATTGCTGGGCTGGCAATGGCCACAGGCTGGGAGATGTTATCTAGTACCCACCACCTGCTGGCCTGCATCAGTGCAGGCCTCCCCTTGCCTTTCCCAACTGACAACTGAATTTTAGTTCAGTTGGTTATTGGCTCAGCCTATACCATATAGGAAGCTGCCGCCTAGATTGAATAGATTCAGCCTCAGTCTGTGTCTGCCTGTACTTACCCCAAGGATTTAGGTAGAAGGCAACCAAGCTCCGACTTCAAACTGTGTCATGGAAGAGCACTGGTGATGTGTAGGGGGTGCACATGCACCCCCTAAGCTTGGCAGTGCACCCCCTGCAAAAAGCACCACCACCGCTGCTGGCGGCACTGGCAAGCAGCCACTGCTTCCCATCCCCCCATCGCCATGAACACTGCTGATGGCATTTGCGGGTGGTCGCCAAATACCGGTTGGCACTCGCCACCTCCCTCCCCACACAGCCGCTAACACCGCCATGGCCCCCTGTGAGAGCTCGCTGCTCGCCACTGCCACCACCTGTGGGAACTCACTGTGCTGCCTCCCCCTCCCCCCACCCCAGTCTCTGGGGGCACATGGCATTCATGTGGAAAAGTACAAACATTTTCCTGAACGTGTCACTTTGTTTGTTTGTTTTGTTTTTTAATATTTTCATGATCCTGATCATCATATTTGTAGATCTGCTACCCACGATTACCCTGCCTTAAAACAAAAGCTGATGGATACAAAGGAAGAGGGACATCAGCTTCTCAGTAAAAGTTGGATTTAGTGGGACCTACATGCCAGTCAAACAATAAGAACTAAAAGAACTTTGGTAGTAACATCAGCCTAACAGGAGGTCAGAGCAACTTGTGCTTGTGATAAAGAAGATATGCATGATTTTTTTCCTGTTTTTCAGCCCCACTATTCATCATTACTATCTATAGAAGCAAAGTGCCTGACTACTAAAAAAAACAAGACTTCTGATGAATACATTGTAAGTTATTTGTAGCAGAGACAAGTCTTCAGTTAAATGCACATATAGGGTGCTTATACAAGTGACATTTTTCACATGACCAGGCCCCTGAAAGCACACTACAACCATAACTTAACATATGTGTATGGCTGCAAAGCACTTTTAAAATGGCCAATTACATGAAAAATTAACCCTGTTAAAGGAAGTATTAGATTAAGGCACTCAAGCAGAGAGCCTTAGGGAACTTGTGCTCTCTCCAGGGTTAATTTTTCACATAGTAATGGGGCTAGGCTGGTGCTTGTGCTGGCAATACCAGCCCAGTCTCACCTCTGGCTGCTTTGGAATGGCTAAAGTAGGGGTG